TTGTTGTACCAAAGGTTGCCATGAGCCACCATGACTATGACTCCATAGCAACTAATGACCACCACGGCCACAAAAGCAATGCGGGGCCCTGGACTGGATCCTGGGTCAGAGTGAAGTCCTCAGAGAGACAGCTGCTACATTTGAATACCGCCTGGTATCAATGTTAATTTCCTGACCTTTGGTACATGAACTGCGAAAGAAGTTAAGGTGTTTTTAGGAACCTGCTTGAAAGGTGCTAGGAAATTCTCTGTACTATTTGTGCAACTTTGTCTTAAAGTTCCAAATAATTGGGGGGAAAAATTAGACTCTGGAGCCAGACTGCCTAGGGTTCGCCCCCTTTACTGGCTGTGGAACTTGGGCAAATGATCTCATTTCTGCATGTGGCAGCTTCATCATCTGTAAAAAGGGGACAATCGTGCCCCGTCATCACATTATTGGGTCAAATAATGAAAAAACGCAAAGCACTATAGCACAAGCCTATGTGCCATTTCAGGGGGAGCTGTTACTGTTTAACACCAGCATCCAGAATAACATGTTTCCGTTCCTCCACCTGCACTTTATCAATCCAGGAAGTAATAACAATGTGTTGGGGTGTCCTGTGCTTATCTACCGCTGGGGGCAGAGAGAAGGAAGAAGGGCAAACAGCCATCAGTGAGCTTCCTGGGGGCTAGGGGGCACAATGTCCCAGCACTCCACTGTCGCTGTAAGGGGCCCTAAAGTCGGTTCCGACTCCCAGCGACCCTACTGCACAACAGAACGAAACCCTGCGGGTCCTGTGCCATCCTCACAATCTTCGCTGTCTGAGCCCACTGTTGCGGCCACTGTCAGCCCATCTCGTTGGGGGTCTCCCTCTTTTTCGCTGACCCTCTACCAAGCATGATGGCCTTCTCCAGGGACTGGTCCCTCCTGATAACATGTCCAAAGCAGGAAGACCAACTAGAATGTTCCAGCATTCTCGGTGGTATTATCACAGGTGAAGGTAAAGAACTGTCCCAGCAGAGCCTGGCTGGGTCGGAGGGGCCCGGAGCCCGGACCTAAAGTTGGGGGGTGGCCATCGCCGGACCCTGCACGCCTGCAGGAGCGACTGTCTCGCAGGACTTGGAAGTAGCGGGCCTCTGCCCAGAGCGGGCCGAGGAGGGGGCGATCCGGCAGGCCCAGGACGCAGCCCCCGCACGGTACCCGCTTCGGCGACCCAGTCTCCCCGCCGCGTGCCCGCCGCCGGGCCCCGCTCCCGCCCATCCCCGCGCCGCGGCTCACGGGGAACGCTTGTCCGCCGCTCCCTGCAGTCCGACCGCGTTGCCATGGCGACCCGCTCCTCCGACCGCAGCCCGCGCGCGCTCGGTGCAGCGATGGGCTCCGCCGGGCGGAAACGCGAACCCCGGCGCCGGGTTCTGGCTAGCGGCCGCCGCCACCCAAAACAACCGGAAGGGGTCCCGGGAGGAGGGCCTGGGCGCTAGTCTGCTCGGCTCCCCGAGCCTGCGGCCTCGGACACTTACCCCGGGCTGGCTTCCGCACCGTTAGTGGGTGACCTCAGGACGGAGCTCCGGTCCTGGGGGAAGGCGGCCGCTCCCTCCCAGCGGTGCCAGGCTCCGGGTCCCGCTGGTCGCCGGGTCGGCTCT